GAAGCTTAGAAAGGAAACTGCCAAACCGGCCCCCTCTCATCAAAGGCTTCAAGACTGTCTCACTCTTTCTTATTTAAGAAACCCATCTACCCAATTCTCTTCATGAAGTGAATCAATGATGGACCCCTAAGATAAAGAAGATCTAAATCCTAGTATGAGAAATCTTTGGCTTTAAAGCATAATTTTAGTCAAAACTTGAATTTATTGGATGGTATTAGAAGGAAATGAGAGAAAGTAGACGAAGATAATTTAAGCATATACATAAAAGATCATCAGAATCCTAAGAAGAGTTAATTTGTTATAAGTTAAAAGCAGCTAAAAGGGTAAAGGATAGACCAGAAAAAGATATAAATAAAAAATAGTAATAAATGATCTAAGTGCTGATAATTTAATAGTGGATATGACATTAATATTAAACAGAACAGATTATGTAACCAACGCTATATAATTGAGATAAGGCTTGAATGATGATGATTAGAAAGAAAGGCGACGCCACCAGCTGTAAAGGAATCAATAGAGAATACAACCATATCTTACCAAAAATTCGGTCCCTCTAACAATATAAAAGGAATCAAAAAATATAGCTTAGTTATAACCCTCACAATAGTCACATCAAAATGATTGTTAGGGGCCTACTTTACGTCTCATTCAAGAATATTTTTGTTTAGTTAATTATAGCTTGATTTCATTTTGTCTTTGATTCTAATCATGTCTTCGTGGATAAATACAAACCCATGAAGACGTGGGATGCCCATAGAGAGACATATTCAGATGTGAAAGGTCAATCTGATGATAATCTTCCAATTGTTTGATTTTTCTTTGTACTCAGCATCGCCATCATGCTAAGAATAATCCCATGCTATTCATACATATCACAATTATCTGATTTGATGCTTTCTATATTTGAGATTTCTTTTTGAATACATTATTCTGGATGTAATTTGTTTGAGTTCATTGTGTCCATGAGGATGGAATTGGAGTGCTTTTGTATGTCTTTCCTAATTCGGCATTTGATAGATGGATTATTTATTAATTATTAGTAATTATGTACATACTTTTGCACATAATAATTCTAGATGATGATAATGATGGATAGTAATAATGTATTCACATTCTTCTATAAACTTTATGTATATATTTTTATTTTTTGTTTATTATTATTAATTGGATGCGGACTGAAAATCTAAATCAAATTACGTAAACATTTCATCCCAATATGTGATAATCAGATCGAGTTGTGAAGTTTCAAATATCATTGATAAGCCTACTTGCTTGGTTAGATTATTCTTTTTGTAATATTTAATCTTTTTGGTATATTTTTTCTTTTATTCATTTATAAAAAAAATGTATGATTTAAATAGAGGGAATTGAATGGGGTGAAAAATAGTAGTTCAATTTACAATTTAAACCTTCATAATTAAATAGGGACTAAATTCAAAAATGAGTATTTTAGTAAAAAGAAAGTTTCACAATCTTATTCATATTTTTAATAGTAGTGTAAATATAGAATTATATATCTGTTCAATTTTTTCTATAACTTTTTTTTTGTATTTTTATATAAAAATAATTCTAATATGTCACACTTACTTTTTGTTTAATATGATAAATATATGATATTATACATGTGCCTAAGTGTTTTTTGAAAAATTTATGTATTTTTTTCATTTTTGTATTTTTATATTTATTAACTTTTATTATTTATTTATGAAATTAAAGCTTAAAATGTTTGACCCAAAATTTGAACTATTGATCTTTGTCAAACAGTTAAATCATTTCATTTTTTGTCAGTTCTAAATTATGTATTTTATTTTAATTACCAATAAAAATAATTCTTATTTATTACATTTTTTTAATTTGATTAATAAAAATATCATAAATGTGTCTAATTTTTTCTACATTTTTTGTAAGTTTCTATATTCATTTCTATTTTAAAATTTTTATTACCTAACTATATACGTTGATCAATTTGATTCGGATGGTTGAATTGCTTAACCACCAATTGGATTAAAAATGGTTTTATTTTTTAGTCAGTTTTAAAATATATAGGTTTATATTGTTAAAAATATTGACATAGATCTAATTTAATAAAAGAAAATGAGGGTTAATAATTTAAGTATAAAACTTAATGATATAGGATTAAATGAGGTGGAAAGTAATAATTGAAATTATATTTTCAACCTTAATATTAGAGATGGACTAAATACACAATTATGAGCATTTTAGTAGCTATTAAAGTTGTCACTAAAGTTATAATAAAATAACTTTTATACCCTTTCTCAAACAAAAAAGTAAAAGATAATTTTAGTCAAAAAAAAAATTACGTTGCATTCGCAGTGTGCATGTGTGAATGGATGGGAGTGCAAATGAAAAAAAAATGCAAATTTTATTTTGGACTTTACTTTATTCTACTGTGGATCTTATTTTCATTTTTATTGCAACCAAACAAAGTTAGGTAAATTTTGAAATAAAAATAAATCAAAACTTGCACCCAAATCATTTGCATTGCCATAGTTTTGCATCAATGCAAATGAATTTGCACTGCAACCAAACATAGCATAACGGAAAAATTTCAACTGTTTATTTGGAAGGATAAAAGACTTAAGCATACATTGGGTTTTCATAAATTGACTTGAGTGTATTCAGAGTTTTTCAATTAGACTTAAATATACCTTATGGGCTAACTCCACTGGACTCAAATATACTTTCCACAAAATGGGAACTTACTTAACTTTCTTAAAATCCTTGTTTCCTCTTATATACCCTTTTAACATATGAGAGTTTTGGTCATCTATGCAAACTGGAGAGAAGGGCATTTCACACTTTCACCTCCTCCCATTATCCTTGCCCAAAAAGGGGAGATGCAATGTGGAGAACTTTGAAGACGAGAGGTGTTGCACAAAAATAGGGTCCTTAAGAAGAAATCCATAAATGCTTCCAACAACTCCACCTGTTCTCTTAAAAAACACAAGAGAAAAGGAAATTTGATTACAAAGTTTCTTCTATTTCAATAAAGGATATCGGGATGCAAAAGAGTAGACTACAATCATGAATTGTGTCAAAAACTCTCCTGCTACCACCTAGGCATGATGACTATCATACTGGTGAAGGGAAGAAGAGAGAGAGGGAGGACTTTGGAAGTCCGCCGCTGCTGTTTGTGTATCGTGAGGTTGGGGAAGATGAATAGTGTTTTTCTCCGAATAGTTATTACAAGGATAGGATGGGGATTAAAAAATATTGCAATGGAGGATTTCAACGGAAGGCTAATGAAAGGGGGTCTTTGTCTCACGGTCATAGTACAGGGGAGTCTTTGTCACAAAACAAAGTATAGGGGGTCTTTGTAATTTACCCAATATTTTATTAGTACTTTATTATGAATATTTTGTTACATGTTTATTGATAATTTATTATTATTATTACTTTAATGTTTTGTTAATATTTTATTAATATTAGGGTTTGGGGGGGGTTTTGTTAAGAGTTCTTTACTTCTTGACAAACTCTAGAATGGGAATCCTATTCCCAAGGGGGGCCTGGAATGTCCATTCCCATTCTGCCAAGAATGAGAATCGAAATCTCATTCTGACCAAATAAACGGTTGGATGCCAACTTCAATTCTAGGCACATATTCCAAGGAACCAAATGAACCCTTAGGGCATGTTTAAAATAATTAATGAAAACCTAAGGTACGTTTAAGATGGAAAACAAATTTGGTCCAACCAACTAGTTTGATTGTGGATCGAAAACATTGTTAGATTGGATTCAATGGATGGGGATCCTGTTTCACTCTAAATATTTTACTCACATAACACCACCACCACCATGTATTGGAAACATCTCCCCATGAATGGCAAGGGAGATATTATATTCCGAATGTGCAATTGTAATGTCCCATGGGTAGGGATGTAAAAACAATTTGTGGGTAGTAAATCTGAGCCCAATCTGTTTTGGTTCATCTTCATTCTTAGATAAAGAAGCCCTACATTCAATTAAGGGCTCGTTTATTTGCATCAAATGCACATTGAGGTTTGAAAAGATGACTTTTTAGGCATCTAGACATCCACTCTTAATTGTAAAGATTCTTGTTAGTGGTTCATATGACTTTTCAATTTGCATAGAATGCACTCTTAATTTTAAAAATTTTTGTTAGTGGTTCATATGCTCATCCACCTCTTAGTGAGTTAAGATGTGTTATAAATTTTTGTTCCAAAAGTGACCTCACTCTATAAGATGTTCAGATCTTTTTTTATTGGTGGAATGACAAGATCAACCCACAATGCCTCGTTTGTTTACCACTAAGTTGGGGGGGGGGTTGGTCAAGGAGAAAGTTACCACCTTTCCAATGTTTTTTATTGATAAATGTGGGGGTTATGGAAAGTCAGTTTTCCCCTGGATAAGTTGTTGGCAACTTATTCGCGGAAGTCTTACCCTTTTCCTAGGTGGGTTACTTTTCCATTAGGAGGGAAAGCTTCAAAAACCAGTGACACAAAAATGTCCATTGGACAAGCTTTTAAAAAACAAAAGGTCTAAGGTTAAACATGGTATGCATTTACCTAAATAACCTAGTAAACAAACAAGGCCTAAAAGCTACCCAAAAGATACTACAATGCCCTTTGGACAAGCTTCTAAAAACCAAATTTTTTAGGGTAAACATGGGAACAAAGAAAATTCACCTAGCTAAATTCAGCAAAAACACACAAGTAAATACACCTAAGTAGAACTTATTTGGATATGTGCATTTACCAGACTACTTATGAGTAAACGAATGGGGCCTAAAAAGTACTGAAAGGACGTTATAATTGCAAATTGGAAACATCTCCCATGTTGTTGTGATTCAAGGGAGATGTTCTCAATGTGTAGCTGTAATATCTTATGAATAGCATATAAAAACATCCCACACGTTGTGGGCGTGCCGCGTGTCCTCCCACACGTGCACTAAAGAGATTCGTGCGGATGAAACTTCAAGTCGTTTGCTCCCATACTCCGCGTGTCCTCCCTCGCCCAAAAAGGGCATCATCCCTTATTTTGGGTTATTCTTCCTCTCCCATTCTGTCGAACTAAAACTCTTGACCTTTCATAACCCACCGGAGATTGCCTCTTTCGAGTTCCGTCGATCGATGCCGACAACCGTTCCGACAGGATGTAAGTATCCCTTCCATAAGTTTTTCTCATCTTCTACCTTTTTTTTTTGTTTTTTTTTTCTCATTTTCTACCGTTCTTAGATCTAAAACCCGTCGGAGTGGGAGCCCCTTCGAGTTCCATCGGTCGACGCCGACGACCGTTCTGGCAGGAGGTAAGTATCCCTCAACCTTCCATAAGTTTTTCTCATTTTCTACTTTTTTTTTTTTGTTTTTTCTCATTTTCTACCGCTCTCATATCTGAAACCCGCCAGAGTGGCAGCCCCCTTCGAGTTCCAACGGTCGACGCCGACGATCGTTCCGGAATATTCATTTCTACCTTGTTTTTTTTTTCTCATTTTCTACCTTCCAGTAACAAAGCTGAAACCAACCCACTCCCCTGTTCTATTCATACTGTTTTCATCCGATTCTCAGTTGTAACATTATACCTAAAACTTGGAATTATTATTGATTTGTGTGTCAAATCAGTTGTAACATTATGTGGTCTTCAGTTGTAACAATGCAGTCAAATTTTATGTGATTTTTGAATTGTTTGATGCAGACTAACTGTTTAAACGAAGATGCCCTTTTTGGGCATTCAGTTTGACAAAAACGAAGCATGTGGTTTCAGATCCGAATGTTAAACTGCACCTATGTTTTATGTGATTTTCTAATTGAATTGGTTAAATTAAACGAAGCATGACTAATTGTTTGATAAATTGTGACAGAGTTTATGGAAAAAACTCTGAAAGTCTTGTGTTTATGAAAAAAACTCTAAAAGTCTATTAAATTTATGAAAAACAATAGAGTGCTTCCATGGATGAATGCTGAAAAAATATTAGTATATGCTTTGGAATATTTTGAGAATTTATATTTTTAGAAATGAATTTTATTTTAAAATTTGACTCTTGTGTATATAAATATAGGAATGAGTTCTCAATCCACATCCGAAATTAGGTTTTATAAGTACCTGAAATATAATGTAAGATACTACAAGTTTCAAAAAAAATACATAATTCGCATGTCAGATACATCTGCTAATCCTCAAAGATTGTTTTACACTTGCCCTAGCAAATTGGTAAGTAGTATTTTAATTTCATTGTGTTTGTGATGACGGGTCTAGTTATATTAGATATATTGATGAAGCCACCTCAACAAGGAACAATGTAGTGCATTTGGAAAGCCATATTGAAAAGCTAGAGAAGTTAATTGTTGAAGGGTTGGATGCTCTGAAGGCTTCTCAGTAGTTATTTATCGAAGGATTAAAGGCTATGCAGATTTTGACAATAAGTTTTGTAGTTGTGTTTATATTTGTCTTGTACATGTACAAGAACTAGTATTTAGGTGTACTTAGTATTTAGGTACAGGTTCTTGTAATATTTTGAACTATGTGTAATATTTCAGTTAAAGCCTTTGTCTTGTTAATCTAGATTGTTAAAGGGTTGGATGCCATTTTCAGTTAAAGCCTTTGTCTTGTTAATCTGGATTGTTAAAAGGTTGGATGACAACTATTAATCTGGATTGTCTTCATGGCCAAGAAAGCAACCACATACTATGGTACTAACAACATGAAGATCATTGATCAGGATTTAGGAGCAATGTATATCAGCTCCAGCCTCTAGATGTTCATGTTCATGTTTGATTTGATTGGTGAATAGCCTCTGTAGCAAAGCTTAGGTGAGAAAATCAAGCAAGGGAAAATAATCCTTTATTATCCAAAGTTTTAAGATTCTGATTTGTGTATCCTTTATTATCCAAAGTTTTATTTGTCTCCTACCTACCTATTTCATTTTTTTATTATTTCCAATATTATTTAATGCTCTCTTTCTCTTTTCTTAATTCGATTCTAGCCCTTTGATTCATTATTGTTCTTCCAACATTTCCAATATTAATTTTTCTTCTCTATCCAGTCCACTCAAATGGACCAAGTGAGTATTTCATCTTCAATAATTGAAACGTGAAAATGTAGGAATATAAGTTAGCTGCTACTTTAGTTTTGATTTGAGCTGTTTTTTTTTTTTTAATGACCGTTTATCCCCCATTCTCTCTTCCTCTCTGGCTAATGTTGTGACGATCAATTTTTGTTTCTTTCTTTCCTTCTTTCCAACATTCCATTGAAGTTTCTCTGTTAATTCCTTTTATAGGCAATTGCTTGTACGTGAAATAGAATATTGTCATGGCATATGAAAACCGATTGTTACCACACAACCCCATACTGTACGATCGAGAGATGGTATTCCTAAAAATTAAATGTGAGATGAGAAAAAAATAATAACTGGTTGCTCGATCAAAGTGCATACATCTTATCATAAGAACCTTCTACTACAAGAATCCCCATGTAATTGAAATACTGCAAAAGAAGTTTCTTCTCTTTATCTTCAGAACACAGATGGGGTCATTGACTCATTGAGGTTTTTTATGAGAACATTCTTATCTATGTTCATCAAACATTTCTCATTAGAGTGCTTCAACCAAACTGCTACAAGAGCTCTTAATAGAAAACTAGAGAGACTTCACAAACAAAGAGATTGGTAGAACATCAAAAGAGAAAATGTACTTTGTGAAAAAAAAGTTGTTGGGGAAAAAACAACAAATACACGTGAACATCTTTCATCCATGATAACTCCACTTTTCTGGTTGTTGGTCTTGACATGGTCCGATCCATGATGATTCCTACATTTACACATGATAGTTATTATTTTTTTAATTATGCAAAAAAAAACACATTTTCGGAAATAAACAATTAAAATTTCACCTGGCTCATATGAGATCCACTAGAGATGGTTTGGCTAGACACATTTCTGAGTACCTCTACGTACCTATACAGACAATTTCCAATTATAAATTAAAGCAAAATGATTTTACAAAATATTAAAAAAAAATCCATACACAACTTACTTATATGGGAAGATTGTTTACAAAAGAGCTTGAATGGTTATACATGAGCCAATGTGGTGCTTGCATAGGTGATGGCATTGTGTGAACATGTTGCCAATTCCAAAGACAAGGAATGGTGCTTGGTGGACCACTTCCATCTGTAATAGATTGAATATTTTCTCCAAAACCTTGATCCTGAATTAAAAGAATTTTGTTAAAGTTTTAATATAATATAAACCGAAATCTTTGGAAACTCGTCACTTTATATAAACATTAATACCTGTGTGTACATGACAGAGTGGCCAGAATTGGTTATAGGATTTGCACTGCCCTCAACTATACATATCTGAATGAAAGAAGAATTAATCGATAAATGTTTGAACAATAACAAGTGAAATAAATTAGAAAATACCTGTGTATTCTTATCAGATTGGTCCTTCTTAGGTCTTCTCCGCTTGGCTATTGCCTTTTCAAAGGCATTTTTTGGCCTTTTTTAAGAGCGTACAGTGGAAACCTTGTGTTTAAATCCCTTAACTGGTTTCGGAAACCTAGCCCCCAAAGGACTAACCTCAGTATTGGTGTTGTCACTAACATTTGTTTCTACTTGTGTGCCATCAAGATCAATGCAAGGATATTTTTCATTTTCAACTTGTACATCATGAGATGCTACAGATGATTTATCAATAATTGTCAACTACCTTAAACACCCCATCACATCTTCCAAAAGCTTCTCTCCTACTTGCATAGCAATCTTGTAAGCATCATCACTAGGTGCAGCTTTATTTACTACTTGGGTGAGTAGATGAAACATCTCTTTCCTATGTGTTGCTATTTTTGAAGCTTGATCTGAATACCTATCAAATCCAAGAGATGCTTCACCCTTAGACTTTTTTGCACCAATGGTCCATCGGTTCAATACATAGGATGATGGCAAGGGCTCTGCTTATAATCAAGTACCTTCAGTGCATGTTAGATCCCAACAAATTCAAAGTTCTTACAACTACAAGTAATTGATTCATTTCATTGAACTGACGATTCACCCCATACACCTCAATTGTATATTCAACTACCATTTCAACACCACAAAATCTTTTTGAATTGTGCATGTCAATTGTTTCATTACTTCATTATGAAAAATGGAAAAAATATGCCATACACATAACCGATGATGTGATTTTGGTAGCACAAACAAATTGCTTTTGCCATAGCTGCATCATCATCGGTTAGAATTGTTTTAGGCTTTTTTCCTCCCATGGTTTTGACAAACACATTAAACAATCACTCAAAAGTATCCTTAGTTTCATTGTACAACAATGCAACACCATTGTTTACCCCCACAAATACTGCAAATAGTCTATTCTCCTTATTGGTTCTATATGTTGTGTCAAAACATATTACATCACCAAAATGAGCATAATCTACAATCATTTGTGCATCTACCCAAAACAGATTTTTAACTAATTCAGCCTGGTCAAGTTGTATTTCATAAACAAATTACAGATCTTGTGACTACCTATCTTCAAAATATTTTAGAACACCACCTACCTCCCCCCTTTCCATATTCCTAGTCCAGTATGTACACAAGTAATTCATCAAATCCATTGAAGTGAATCTAATATTTTCATGCCCACTAGCCTCATTGGCCATCGACTCCATTACTGCTTTTGGAGCAATTCCTGCATCATCTACCATCATAGTTTGAATACCTTGCACCTTAGTAGCCTTTCTTTGTGACCTCAACATATGTGACTTGGAAGGAGTTACAACCATATGATTTTGCATCTCATCGAAACCAATGACACGATAACCATCCTTCACACGACTTATCTTCATAGTTGCCATACAACCACATCTTGTAATTGGCCAGCGTGTCTTTACAGAAACCCTACATCTATTTGCACTACTCTTTCTTTCTCTAGAGAAACAAAACTTGCAATACCTTATTTGGTTATTCAGCTTGTCAACCACTATTTTCTTTTCGAGTACTAAACCCACCTTCCCAGCATATCTATTTTCTTTCGAGTACTCTTGAGGAATAACACTTAGCTTTTCCTTCAATAGATTTGAAATACTTGCATCAATGCCATTACTTTCCTCACATGTAGGCATCTCATCAGTGGGTTTAGTAAGTTCTTCACTTCTGTTAGGTGAAAGTTTTACCTCATCAAAATCATTGGCGGGTTTGTTGGTACCCTCCATTTCACAAATGCTAGATGAAAGTTTGGATGGTTCACCCTCATCTCCATCAAGTTCAAACACCAGCCTTCGCATGGTGTTTGGTGTTCCGTCCATTCCAAATTTAATCTCTTCTTTGTTGTTGGATTAAATAAAACACCAAATAGTAAATTCAAAAATCCTCATACAATTCAAAAATCACATAAAAGTCGTCTTAGAAACATTAAAGATAGATGTACTGTGAACTAGTCATGCTTCGTTCCTAAAACAACACCTCGACTAGAATCAATATCATTTTTAATTTCCTTTAATTAATAAACACACAAATCAATAATAATTCCAAGTTTTAGGTATAATGTTACAACTGAAAATTGACTGAAAACAATATGAACAAAATAGGGGAGTGGGTTTCAGCTCTGTTACCGAAAGGTAGAAAATGAGAAAGAAAAACAAGGTAGAAAGAGTGAAACTTACCTCCAGTAAATGAATATTCCGGAACGGTCGTCGGCGTCGACCGGTGGAACTCAAAGGGGGCTCCCACCTCGACGGGTTTTAGATCTGAGAACGATAGAAAATGAGAAAAAACAAACTAAAAAGGTAGAAAATGAGAAAAACTTAAGGAAGCGATACTTACCTCTTGCTGGAACGGTTGTCGGCGTCGATCAGCAGAACTCAAAGGAGGTAATCTCCGATGGGTTACAGAAGGTTAAGGGTTTCAGTTCGACAGAATGGGAGATGAAGAATAACCCAAAATAAGGGATGATGTCCTTTTTGGGCAAGAGGAACTAACGTATGGGAGCAAATGGCGTGAAGTTTCATCTGCACGAATCTCTTTAGTGCGTGTGTGGGAGGAGGACACACGGCGCACCCTGTGGGGGGTAGATGCGAACCCTATTTTGGAGGGTAGATCCCAACTCCTCCATGACATAAATGCCAACTCCTTTATCCATACCTTTTCTCACATTGGTCTCTCTTTTGCTTCTCTTTGTCTAGTGGAGATAGTTTTACTAGTTAATCATTTTCTTCCCATATTTTCCCTCATTTTTCTCTTATTTGATATATAAAAAAGCTCATGAATTCATAGGGGTAAATATGTAAACAGTCTCTTTTCAAATATTATAACATTCAGATATTTGAACTGTTCAACTACAATTTGTTGATATGACAATTGTTTTTGTAAAAAGGGAAAATTTCATATTAGTACGCTATATTTTAAGGGTAGTCTCAGTTTAGTACCTGAACTTCAAAACGTACCATTGCAGTACTTGAACTCCCAAAAACTAATAGTTTAGTCCAAAATTGTCAATCAATGTTATGTGGCATGTGAAAGGACACAAATGCCCTTCAAGTGTCATCTAATTTTCTTTATCTACAACTCTCACATAAATCAACTTAAATAAAACTCATCCATCTAAAAGGTCCGTATGAGGATGGAAACAGCCTTCAAATGATTATTGGTTCATAGTCTTCAAATGAGAAGATGAAACTACTTTGGCATCACCAATGAGCCATCCACAGAAACCTTCTCCTACACTTTGATGGGTCTCTCTCTTCCTTTGTGTACTTATAGACACTGAAATTTAGTGGAAATGGCATTTTTGTGTTGGGTAACCATTACCTTAATGAATAGAACCCACCTGTTTCTTTTTTTAATTAATAAATAAATAAAGTACTTACCTTTGATTCCGAAATCATAACTATTTGGTTGTCATATTACAAGGAACTAATGTATTGTTGTGTTTTGTTTTGTGCTCCTTATTTCTTGTAACTACAAGTAATACCATTGATCTTTCTCTTTTCTCTCACTTGCATCCTTTTCCATCTTCCCATTTTGCATTTCTTTTCTTTTTTTAGTTAATTATATACATCATATTCTATTTGTCCATTTCTTTGTTGAATTCCATCGATTTTGAGACTTTTTTTCTTTCTAGATTTTGTTATCTTCATCTTTATACATACTAGAATTCTGATTCTTTTGGACAAAGGAACTAGGCAATGGATATATAGATTCATTGATTGATCGGTATATTATCAACAAGATGAAAGTACCTGTGGACCATATGAGGATGGAAACAATGAGCAATGTCTGTTTTGGTTCAGTCTTAAGGCAGAAGACAATGAACAATGTCTTATTTTGAATGGGTAGTTTTGACATCTTCAAAAGTTTTAAATCATACATGTCATCGTATGATACAAATAACTAAAAATTTGCATTAAATAATGATTTATTTATTATTTATAAAATAAAAATACTGTTTACAAAAATATTTGAAAATATAATATAAATTAAATCTATCAAATCCACTAATTACACTTATATAAAAATAATAATTTTTCAATTTAGAAAATTAATAAAAGTAAAAAATAATAATAATGGAATAATTATTTTAGTAATTAAAATTTATGAATTTTCATATGATGTATCTTCAAAATTTTTATAGATTTTATATGTTTTAAGTTTAGATTACATATTTTTATAAATTATTAACTGACATTTTAATTTATATTTTATAATAACATATTTTATAAATTAAAAATCTATATAATATGTGCCTTGGTCTTCTGATTGATGCATTATTAATAAAATTGTATAATATCTACGCATTCTACTATATTAATTATAATATATTGCTTCATATATATCATTTTAAAGATACAATTCCTATGTATTTACATTATTTTTAATTATTTTAACATTTAACTTAATACTATACTATTAATATATTTATAGAATTTATATGCATTTCCGTAGTACGTTCAAACATTTCCATATATTTCATTCGTATTCATATGTTTTCCAAATATATCCTTGAGCACAAAAAATTATACTACGACATAAAAATAAAAAATAAAATAAAATTTGACTATTTAGCTGAGAAAGACCCTTACTATTTATTTATTTATTTTACTTAGACAGCGTTACAATGACTAATGGAGGGAAATGCACGTGCAACGGTGCAAGAGAGGAAAGAAAATTGACTAGTATTTCATTCTCGGCAAACTTGGGATGGTCCTCGTTTTTGACGTGAAGCCAAGACTAGTATGTGATAAAGTTACTACTCATTATATATGGTTTCTTACGAACGAATCCATACAAACCACCTGCTTACAACTTTACAGTCAATAAATATACCTTACAATTCATTTATTTTGCCTCCCAAATAAATTGGTAAAAGATTTTATTCCTAAACTACCCTTCTTTTTATCATTAATTTTATGTATAAAATGGTGGAGAGATCGTAGAGGAGACACAAATATGAAATATCCTCTCACGAGTCACGATTATACTACACCAGCCGTGTAGGAGAGAGAGGAGAGACAAAGTTTGAAATGTCCACGTGGCAGCTTAATAACAAAAGCTTAGACCCTACTTTAAAGCTTGGATGTTGGGATGTCAGTGGATCGGGTTTTGGGCCTACCCTAATAGAAGCTTTAGATAAAGTTGCACTTACCCTACCCTATTAGATAACGATAGTGTCAATTTTATTCGGGTTTTGGACCGTAATGAACTTGTGCCAAACCCGATCCATTGACATTTCAGCATTGGATGGGTTGGGTAATAGGTTGAAGCAGTTTGGAATCGGGTTCAGTTTGTGATGTTCCGTACGAAACCAGACCCGTTGACATCTCCACCTGGAAGCGATGTTGAAGTAGACCAGACACATCAACAACTCCGATCTGTCCCGTGAGGCCGTGAACCATCAATTCTGGAATCTGGATACCTAGTCACACCTCCATTGGCCGAAAGGAGAAGGGTCGTCCACAGTGTAATTCCAAATGACAAATCTGTCGTCTTCTAATTCTGAGGGGCCACGTGTACGTAACATCGTGCCACGAAAGGCAACTGGGTCCCACAGCAACATTCTAAGTGAATGGTGTAAGATGAACCCGTAAGGGTTCCAAGAAAAGAACCAGAGCAAACACATTCAAAACTAGAAGTAAAACAAAACAAGCCTCCATCTATGATCTATGATCTATCTATCTACTCCTCCACTCCACCTTTTATCTCTTCTTGTCCACATTTCCTGCATCTACTGATCTACCCACCAAAGAAGCCCTAGGAAAAGAATAAACCCACCACACTGAATTGGGTGGTAAGTGGGTGGGGTTCAGACTTCAGAGCAGAGCTCTCATCAGTCTCAGGCTCTCAGCCATGGCAGACTATGAACAACAATCGGTAGTCCCGAAAGAAACAGCCTTGCAAGCCCTAAACACCATAATCCAGCTCCACTTCGAGAAAACCCTCGAGAAGAAACGGGCCGTCGATCTCCAAAAGAAGGAGCTTTGGAAGCTCTTCCAGTTCTTCTTCATCTTCCTCAGCCTGATCTTTGCCGCCCAGGTCCAGTCGCCCCGCCTCCAATGCCGGCACTGCTGGGTCCCGATAGGGCTCCTCACGCTTGCCCACCTCGTCTTCTACGTCTCCGTGGCTCAGACCCTCCGCTGCATCAACGGATTCAAGTACCAGCGGAGGTGCCACAAGCTGACGCTGGGGCTAGCGACCGAGAGGCTGAAGCAGATCAAGATGAGAAGGAACACCGAGCTGGCCGACGAGACGGACGACTTCGAGATCCACTACCAGGAACCTCCCGAGAGCTACTTCGTCAAGTTCAAGAGGAACTGGGCCTTGCATTTCGGGTTCTTGATCTTGATCTACGGCTTCATGGTCTCCTCTTCGGTTGTTCTTCTCTGTTTCTAGAGGCTGTTTCTTCTTCCACAATGTTCTAGGACGTCTTCGAAACACGCCGGCGTTAACCATGTTGTCGCCGGTGTTGTTCTGTAATTTTTGTAACAGCGATGTGAAAAATGTAGCTTTCCCCGTTTCTCTATTTACTTCCTGGTTTTTACTCCAGCCGTGACCAGAGAACTCGGAAAATGTTTTACATGATTTGTTTTGGAAATTCAATTCAAATTTTGAAAAGTAGTGAAGAACTTGACAACGGACAAAGTAGTGAAATATTTAATTATTTTTGCTACTGCTAGAAGTAAGCAGTGCCAGACATTGAAAGGACTGACTGTAATAAATGTGAAGGCTCGTCGTCCTCTTGTTCGTTCAATGTCTCTCACTTTGTAAGTGGAATTTGTAGCTTCGTTTTCCTAATGGGCCATAAGGCCCGGCCCATAACATCATACCTGGGCCTTAATCCATACAAATCTTTAGCAAAAGCTTGCAACTGAGGATTGAAAAACCTGTAACTGATCCTGGGCCTGCAACTTGCCACGTTTCACGTTTGTGTTTATGATTGAAATTCAGGAAATTGAGGCATTTTTGTATATTACTCAAGAGTCAAGACAATTTTTATTATCATTTCAAATACATCAGCACCACTACGATCCATATAGAACAACGAAGGAATAAATGCCAAAAAAACAAAAAAGTGTTTATTTTAAAAGTCACTTGCACGTATTTCCATGTGATGGATTGTACGAATACTTAAATTTAGGGCGTGTTCGTGCAATAATTATATTAAGAGGTATATTAATATTGGTGAATTTTTCTTTCCTCTGAATTCTGAATGCATATGATGTTCTGAATTCTAAATTCTGAAAATTATTAAACGTCTATTTTGACCCTGTATATGAGAATTTTTGCTTGTCTTTTTGGGGGTATTATTAGAAAACAAAAAATTGTATGATTGCATGTAAGAGATAAAAGGAAACAAACAACCATTTTTCTCTTAAAATTTAAAGATTCCTCTTAAGAGATAAGAGTTAAGAGGAAACAAACAGGCCTATTCAATTTTATTTTTTTCTTTTTGGATTTTGAGAAATTGGGATTCCGAACTAAGATACTCATGTTCTTTTTTCAAATTTATGGGGATCTACAGAATTTATTTTCCCTAGGTTATTAATACCCATCTCCTAGGTGAGAAGAGGGGAAGGGGGGAATTGCCAAAATGCACCTACCCAGGTAACTTCCCAAAAAGCAAATGGGGCCTTAAATCAAACAAAGCATGATATAGGTCTTTTAAGCCAAAACACTTACACGACACTTGAATTGAGGGTCGAATGCCTGTTTAAGAGGAATTTCACCCAATGGGGCATTGAAAAGTCATTAAGCTATATTTGGTGAAAAACCCAAAAAGATAAAAAATGCATATATTGAAATGAGAATTCAACTTTTGTAGTAAGGTTTAGCTGATCGCTTTAGCTATTCAGTGGGCTGTGGAATCAATGATAAGGTTCCATGCCAGTATTTATATACATGGGGCCCCCATTTTTACAGTGGGGCTCATGAATTTATTACTGACATGGAATCTCATCATTGATTCCACAGCCGGCCGAACAGCTTAAGCGCTCAGCTAGTCCGAATTCAGTTTTGGTGGCTTCTCCAAGGTGAAGTCAATGCAGTTGTGGAAGAAATGATAATGCCCATCCCAGCTATAAATGCTAAATTGAGATTGAGTGATTGTGGACCATATGCGTTTTATGACTGGCGTGGGGCGTTGTTATTGGTTCCAGCCCTCTACACAGCCATTGAATTCAACTAATCCGATCTGTGGCCCAAAATTCAGCCACAAATCTTATAAATGAATGAAGGCTTAAACTCTTCCAGTGGTTTTGATAATTCTAGTTTAGTATGGGCCCTCACTTACGTGAAGCCCATCTTCTGATGGGCCCTGAACTCAAAACCTTCCATGTGGCAAATTATGAGGGCTTAAGCTTTTAGCAGTAACTGTATCTCCAAACTCAAGATCTTAAGTGAATTTTTAATAAGCCTTTTTCTCCAACCCTCTTCTGCTTCATTAAATTCCAACTGCTTTTTGAAAATTTGGGCCCAGCCTTAACAGTACTAAATAAATTCATGTCCATCTGACAAGGAAACATTCCAATAGTAGTTTTCAATTGTAGAAGAAAGCCCACATTGTAATTCCTTGTTAAAAGTATCAACCAAACAATTGTTACCTCAAACCAAGAGTTAGGATCTCAGTTATTGCTTATCAAATGAAGGCCCGTAAACAAAAGGGCCTTCTAGATTAATAAAAAAGGTAAGGTTTATCCAGACGGCCCAACCACCAAAGAGGTTGGACTTAATTTATGAAAAATGAAAATGAGTATAAATTTAAAAAGAAAATATAACTAAAAGAATGAATTGAATCATACAACATTTCAGAATGCAGATCTAATGGAAAGTAAGTTTATTTTGGGAGTTAGAGTAACAGTTTATGCTGAGGAGAGAGCATTACACAATGACTTGTATGCATTAACACAGAGTTTGAATTTCTCCTCCGCCATTACCTGTTCCATCAACAAATCATGTAAATCAGGCCTTGTTAGTGTTTCAAATCTTGATTATGAAAGCAAACGTGCCCATGTATAAAGGGATTAAAAACACATTAAAGAGATGTTTCTTTTTTTTCGGGTCTTTTTACAGGCAACTGAGAGGTGTTGTATCACAGAACAGTGGAATTATGAATTGATGGGAATTAATTTGAGTTCCACTGTCATACATTTAATAGGAAATTCTGGATAGGTAATGGAAACAAGTTTCAATTCTCCTAATTCTTTAGGATAATAATGTGATAGATCCCAGGCGGATAACCCACCATCAGATCACCGGGCCCATACTGTTCAGGAAACCCAGGCCCGCACAGGTCGTGAAGCCCATGCAGCAGCAGTAGCAGCCTATGCAAAGCTTTACAAACCTCCACTGCTTTTTGTTTACAACCGCAGGCCACGTCATGACCACCCACATGCATAGCTCATGGTAATGATGAGCTGGTAAGTGAGAAAGCCGATATAAGGCCTACGGGTAGAACAGAATGGGCAGAAAAATCATAACCAACTTATTCCCTTCCCTCTTTCTCTTCTTTCCTCTCTTAATTCTGTTTCTGGAGGAAGGAGCTCCGTCGACATCCACCATGCCCACTACTCAACCAATCACAAGACGAAAGGACAGATCGGATGGAGGGAGAACTGAGAGGTATTAAAGACGCCCTCTCTGCTGTGATGTCTCAGCTCAAACGGATGTCAACCCAGCCAAGCAAGGAGGACCAGGAGGGATCGAGCAGCGGCGCCCTTCAACYGAATGGCACCTTCAACCTTCGCAGCCCCAAACTGGTGTTCCCCACGTACTCGGATGATGATCCTTCCCCCTGGATCTACCACGCAGAGCGGTATTTTGATTTTCATGAAATTCCAGCTGGTCAGAGAGTACAAATTGCCTCCATCCATCTAGATGGAGAGGCTAGTCTCTGGTACCAATGGTACCGCCGTTCACACCCACAACTGTCCTGGCTAGACTTTGTTGAGGCCCTGCAAATACAATTTGGTCCTTCCAGCTTCGAAAATTTTGACGAAGCTTTATCTAGAGTGAAACAGACTGGCTTCATTCGAGAATATCAAGTTGAATTCGAGCGGCTAGCCATGAGAGTGCATGGATGGCTGGAACATGCTCTCACTGGCTGTTTATTGGTGGCTTGAGGGAAGACATTAGATTGGAAGTGAAAGCCCTGCAACCCCCTACTATTTTAGCCATTGTGAGCCTAGTCCAACTGCATGAAGACAAGTTGAACCGGGTTAAGAGGAACCAACGGCCGGGAATTCTCGGACCAGCTCCCAAGCCCTTGACATCCAAAACCAAGTTAACCCCAGTTCAACCACACCCCCCGTCAGCCTCCACTGTGAGAAAATAACCCTGGACTGAGATGCAGGCCCGTCGGGAAAAAGGATTGTGCTATAACTGCGAGGAGAAATTTTCTCTGGGCCATAAGTGCAAGGCCTAACAGATGTTCCTCCTTCAAATTGTTGACAACCCGGATGAGAGTGAAGATGTGGATATTGGTCCTATGGTCTCCGACCAGGCGAAGGACTCTGTCAAGGAAAACCCAGAGATTTCACTCCACACCATAACTGGGCTCCACTCCACTGAGACCATTAGAGTGTATGGCATACTTAAGGGTAGTAAGGTGTGCATCTTAATTGACCGTGGGAGTTCCCTTAACTTCACCACTCTGGACCTAGCTCGACAAATGGGCCTAGAGGTTCAAGCGGTTACTCCCTTTGCTGTTAAGGCAGCTAATGGACAGCAAATTCCATGTGATGGGCTGTGCAGGGCCATGTGTTCAGTGTGGACCTATATCCTTTGGATTTTAGTGGGGCTGACTTAATCCTGGGGATCCAATGGCTTAAGCTCCTTGGGCCGACAGTATGTGATTGGACCCTCTTGACTATGGATTTCTGGATGAGTGGGAAGCAATGCCATTTAAAGGAAATTAGGCCAACCAAACTGTTAGTGGTGTTAGTGAAGGGGTATTTCAGTTTTTGTACTTGTTGAGAATGTTGATGTGTACTGTTATGTTAATTCGAGTGCCTCTTACTTAAADAAGGGCACTTAAGTCTTTTCCAATAAGTTAATAATATAATAACAGGTCTGGCCGAATCTAGGGAGAACTTTTTTCTCTAATTCGAACCAGCCTTTCTCTTTCCTCTCTTTTCTCTCTTCCTCTTTCCTCTCCTACTTCTTGCTGTTTACTTTACAGTCAACGAACAAGACAGAATTCTAGGGCAGGTCAAACTTTAACATGGTATCAGAGCG